ATCCGGTCAAACCTACGACAACAGAATATCCAGTCAAAGTCCAAGTCAAACAGGACCTAACCCAAGTCAAAGTCAAACCTGTTCAGTCAATTCACAATCCTCAACAATTCAATTCAAACAATCAATTTAATTCAATTAACCAATTTAGCCAAATTATAGCATAAACACATATAACGATCCAAACCATTAAATCTATTCTAAATGCTATTAACTTCATAGTACGGACCTGGATTTCGCCGAAATCGAATCGATAGCTCGAACGGAAGACAAATCAACGAAATCAACCGAACGGGTCAAATCGAGTCAAAATACAAAATCGACCAATCAATCCGGTGTGGAGGTTAATCTGCCGGCGATATCAACTCGGGGTAGCGGCCGGATGCGGCGACGGTGACGGACGCCGGCGACAGTGGCGGAGCGGCAACTCGACGGCGATGAGCAGCGACTGGCGGCGCTGCAATCGACGGCGGCGGACGACCGACGAAGGCGAAACAGCGGCGTTGCACTCGACGGCGAGGATGGCCGCTGTGCAAAGGGCGACGGCGGTGCTCGTTTCCGGCGAAGGCGAAGCAGCAGCTGGAAGCTCGGCGACGGCGGCTGGAGGCTCGGCGACGCTGAGCGGCGGCTACTGGCGAAGGAAGCAGCGGCGGCGCTGCAACTCGGCGGCGCTGCAATCGACGGCGGCGATGAGCGGCGACGCCGGTGGCTGGCTGCTCCAGTTGGACGGCGACGACCGGCGGCTGGCTCACGGCGGCGCTGCACCAGTCGGCGATGATGGCGGCGAGGCTGGGGAAGGGCGACGAAGAAGAAAGAAGAAGAAGGAGAAGAAAGAAGAAGAAAGAAAAACGGACGAAGATAGGATAAGGTTTGTGTGGTTTAGGTTTATTTAATGGTCCCATTCCAAAAAGGATTGGGCTTCGGACCCAAAATACCTTATTAAATGGTCATAACTTGAGTTCCATAACTCCGATTCGCGAGCCGTCTGAACCGACGCGATCACAAAAAT